TGAAATAAAAAAGAAAGGTTGGTTTAAAATGTTTCTACAGTAAGAATTTTTAATACAATGTTAATTAATATAAAAGCTCTCTTATGTTTTTGAACAGGCTCTTTTTTCACATAATATACAGGTCCATTTAAGGCTTTTTGTTTTTATAAATTCAGCTTATACTACAAATTAAAACTTCACTCATAACTAATAATAAAACACAGAATAGAAGCTCCTTGTTTACAGCTGAAAACTGTTCAAATATAAAACATTTCTGTTTCACAGCTATAACTGTCACAAATAGCCTAAAACTGGCCAATAAGCTTTGTGATACCAGTTAAGGGGTTTCGTTCTTCGACCAAACATACTTTTAAAGACAGAGTGAATGTCATCAACTTCCTTGTCTGCTGGTATGAAGTTGGACCAGCTGTCAAACTTGTTACTGAAAAGGCGTCATCTACACTCTGACGTTTCTTAGCACTTTGCTATGCTTCATTTTCCACTTTTTCTATGTGGCACCAGAATTAAACTCTTTTTGAATGTTAACGATTTTCATGATCTCTGCTTATTAGTTAAGCATTTTAAAAAAGTATACTAGTTACTTTTTCTGTATGTGTTTACTACATCTACAAGGACTCTGAGCAATAAAGCGTTATCAGTACAGAAGTTGTATAACAATTTCTGAATGTAATCAGCTACCAAAGTACCATCCATCCATCCATCCATCCATCCATCCATCCATCCATCCATCCATCCATCCATGCAGCTAGTCAGCTGTTAATGAACCACGAGTTTCAGAGTTTGGACGCTCCATGCGAAGCAAACTCACTGTTGTACACCTTTTCCAGAGGTTTAGAAATCTTGAATCTGGGTTATTTTGATCATAAATGTCGTTGGAGCAAACTTCAGAGTAAGAGTTTATTAGGCACAGGCTCAATTTGTAAATAATGGAGGAAAAAATATTAAATTTAAGGCTGAAAATGAAAGAGAAAATCTAAATTGCTCCACCATTGTAATGTTTTATTGTCGACCTAAGAATCAGGACAGATCACAAAGCAAGGAACATTCTGCAACCCTTTTTTTTAATGACGTCTTTAGTTTTCAGCGAAATACCAGTCACAAGGTGCTGATGGGAAAACTGGACGGACTGGTTTTGGCAAAACCAACAGTTTCAGTCTCGGCGATGAGTCATGCAAACATTGCTGGAAACATAACAGCAACCAGTTTGAAAGGGCTGCGAGTCTCAGTGAACACAAATCCTGAATCAAAGAAATGAATAGAGAAACTCGTAAACCTGCTTATAGTGACAAAGTACAAATACTTTGTTACATTACTAAAGTAGATGTTTTGGCCATCAATACTTTACTGGAGTACATATTTTTCAGACAACATTCTACCTATTATTATCTTCTTATTATTTCTACTTTCTACTCCTTTAATTTTAAAAACAGACTTGTTACTTTTGTTTTATTTAAGCTCACTCTCGTTATGGCCTGTTGGTATTTAAAAAAAACAAAAAAACATCAAAATTATTTTTATTTTTTTTACAGAAAATGTTTTTTCCTTGTGGTGCTGCACCAGTTTGTTGTTCACTAGACACCAAAACAAATGTTTTTTTTAAAGATAAACCAAAGTTAAATCTGACACCATTGCCATTAGTGATAAAACAAAGAAAATTAAGGTTAAAGAAGTTATCATCCAGAATTGTAGAAAAAAATATTTAAATAGGCTAGTCCAATAAAGAATCTGTTGTTAAAATTTTTTCCTGTATTATTTTCACTTTTATACTTTAAGTAGTTAAAAAAATTGTAAATTTACTTGAGTTTAACCCTAAGTTGATACTGTAACTTCTACAAAAGTGTCTTTAAAGTAATATTAATTTGAGTAATAAACTACTTTTGACACCTCTGCTTACCATTTATGCTTTGATTTTATACATGTTGGTATTTTAATTGTAAGTGTTGTAGTTTAGCAGCACATTAGGAAACTTTGGGTCATTTCTTTTCACTTAGGGTTGGGTTTTATTTATATTTTACAATCAAACTGAAGTCTTCACATTTAGGGTACCCACACATATTTATACATAATAAGGATCCATCATAATCTTAGCTGACCTCAATGCAGATCCAGATTCTAATCTTAATATTATCTCACTTTAACTCCTTACACATAATCACTAGAAAGACTTAAAAAGAATACTAAAAGGACAGAATGCACCTCCATTTAAGAAAAAATATGGATAGATAAAAAAAACATCTTAAGCAAAACAGGATAAAGTTAATATAGAGGAAAATATACCATCACATAACAGAACAAAATTGTTTTGTTTTTCTAAAAGTACTTTTTCAGATGTTGAAATGTAAAATTAGATTAGATTATGTTTTTTTTCCTCTTTAAATGTCTTTAGGTGTTTTTAACATTGCAAGAATCCGAAAAGAGTTTCGTCAGCTGGAAGAGCCACCATGTGCTCTTAAGAATATATTTAATCAATTTAAAGTCATGTCTGCTTGTGATAAACCTAAAACTATAATTGTGACCTGCAAAACTGAAGTGATCATTTTTAATCCTACAAGAAGGAAACCAATTGTAAATATTTTTAAACATGGAAAACAAAATTTTTTTTATAAGATCCTCAACAAAATTCGAAATGTTTTAAAGACCTTAGGTTGTATAAATACATGCATGTTTTAACGATCTACTTATTCACTGGTTAGTAAAAATAACACATGTAAATATTAATCTCTCATTAATCGATCAAAATAGATTTTCATTTACTGTAGATATGCAACCTATTGTTAAGGATTTTTCTCTATTTGTATTGCTGCTGTGATTGTTTTGTTTATTGTGTAAGCACGTGCGTATAAACTCACAGCAAATATTTATACTAGGTTAGGAAAGTTTGGACTAAAATACTTTTTGAATGGAAACTTTCTCTCAATTTATTCTGAGAATAATGCCATAATTATTAATGTACTTTAGAGTTAATCTTCAGCTTATAGTGTATTTTATAGCTGGCTGTAGCAAATTTAGAAATGCAAATGTTTTCTCCTGTGAAATCTCAACAATAGTATCACTGTAAGTCCATCAGTGCATTTATTTTATCTTTACCTGCCAAACCTGGTCAGCATATAATCAAATTTCAAAGATTGCTTGGGCTCTTTAAATGTTTAAGGCTTAGTTTGTTACACTTTTCGACTCTTGAGTCTTTTATTTAGAAAGGTCTAGAAATCGGCATATGTGGGTTTTGCGTATTTAATAGACTTTATTAAAAGTACAATTGTCATGATCTGGCCTGTTTGCTCCTGCTTAATTGGTTATTCCTTTCACCTGCTGTTTTTCCTCCCTGCCTCAATTATAATTTATTCCTCTCACCTGTTTCCTCTGGTTTATATTCAGTTCAGCCTGAGCATTCAGGGCCAGATCATTACTTGTCCTTTTGTTTGTCTATCTGTTCAGTTTGAATTCATGGTTCATGTCCTGGATCCTAGCAGCCAGTGGAAAGAGGCTTTTTGTGTTTGTCTCGTCTCCTGATCGTCCACTGTTCCTCCCCCGCGGAGTCCTCTGGGTTTTTGCCTCAATATGTGGTGAGGTTCAGTTTTTATCCAGTAAGCCTGGCTCCAAGGGGGAGACCAGTTTAAAGTTCTGCTTCAAGTTCCGGTTCCACGTCCTGTCTCGGCTACCCTCTTCCACTGAGCCTGCCTGTCTACACCTGACCCTGTCTGCTCCTGTGCGTGACCACCTGGTCATGCTTCTGGTCCCAGTCAGACTCTGAACCCTCCTGGGAGCCTGTGGATGCCTGGAGGTCTGGATCCTGCCACCTGTTCCTGCCTGATCTGGATCCTGCCTGTTCTGTCTGTTCCTGTCTGTTCTGGATCCCTGACCAGGATCGGCTTCCAGCATGACCTCTGGGACTGCAGCACTTGGGGACATTCTTGGTCTGGACTGTTAAACCAGGTAAGGGACCAATTCAGATAATCATCTTCTGTCCGATGATCGTGGTCACTTACCTGTGTTTCTCCCACTACAGAGTGTCTGAGATTGGGCGGTGCCCCGCCCCCCCGCCTGCAGTGTCCGCGAGCCACAGCTCCACTTTAGTTTTTGTTAATTTAATAAACCTTTTTGAACTTTCCTACTGACTGTCTCTCCTTGAATACTGGGTCCACCTGTCCTCGGTTCATGACAACAATATCAGTTGTTAAAAAAAAAGTAGGATCATTTTCATGACTGCCAATTCAGGTTTGTGACAAATGCCTTAGACTGTGCTAAGAATGATAAGTAACCTAATGCCTCAGGCAGACAGGCTGCTTTGTTCTATATACAGAACTTCACCTCTTTTTCACACACTTCAGTGTAGTTAATTGGGAATTTCTATGACAGATTATTTTGAATATTTAAATAAAACAAAATAAATCAGTCAGGTGTGCTTTTGTTTTTGCTTTTAATTTCCGTATGTTAATAAATCTCCATATAACCCAAGCTGTTTCCCAAAGAAGCGGAAGAAACCCAGCAGGAAATGAAATTTTAGAGCACTTCAAAGCATCTTCAGCAGCCTCGTAGAGCATGTAGACATGCAGGTGGGGTGATAAACAGATGGATGATTTTGCTCGGCCTGTTATGTTGTGTGAAACATTTTGGTCTAAACGTGACTGTGGAGAAGCTTTTCTTCAGCAGGAACACAGAAGCCGATGGGGAAATGAATGCAGCTAAAGAAAAGCTGTTGGGGGATATAAAAGAAAGATGTGATGCTGGGTTGGAGGTTTAAATCTAGCAGAGCTACATTGGTTACACTCTAAAAGCTGAGATGAAGTATCTTAATGTGTAACAAAGATGGAAATAGTTTCTGGTCTCTGTCTCTTCCATAGTTTTTATTTTTTAATATGTATCTTGAATAGTTAAACCTATTCAAATTTGTTGTTACATTTTAGTAACAGGGTTTTATAGCTTGCTGCAGATATATTAACAAGAAATATGTTTTTCTCTGTTCCCCCCAAATCCCTACTGTGTTTCCTCAAACCTATTAGGTCAGGGTCTTCAGTGCTACAAATGTTCGTTTGGCATTGGGAGTCTGTGTATAACATCAAATATCACATGTGAAAGCGGGGAGCTCTGCTACAGTGGTAAAGTGGGAACAGGTGAGTGTTTTTTGAGATCTTGCTAGAAGATGATTGCTTAAAAAGGTTTGTGATCAACTTTAAAAACTCCACACCAGGGAAGGATCTGGGGTTTGTTTTGGTATATGTATAGCCACAGAGCTTGTCACGGGACTTTCAGCAAGACCAAAAGATGACCAATCTTTAATTTATGTTATCAGTTCTCATCACTGGAATAACAAACTCGCCAAATAGTTTTTTGCTCTGTTCTTTTAAAGTAGAAAATATTTTTCGAGTATTAAGCTTTTTCAAAACAATTCTTCTGTGAAAAGAATAAAAGCAATCCCAATCAACAAGTCTTTAAGAAGAAGGACCTGATAGCTGTTAGGGGAAAAATTTTGCTGAGGAAGACCAGCCATCAGTTTTATTATCTGACTGGCACTAAATCTTTTACAGCAGTGGGCTAATTTTAAGTTCTATAAGTTATTTTTCAGGATTAACAATTAAAGCCACAGCATCTTGGTTGACTTTAAACTCTAACTTTTACTATTTTTATTTTTGTTTTATTTTGGCCAATTCACAAGAGCACTTTATGGTCCACTTTTGAATTATGCTATTTTTCTATAGCACATGTTTTTTTAAGACTTTGATGCTGGTTCAGCTGCATTTTGTGTCATTGAGTGTTTCTTCCTTTACAGGTGATCTCAAATTCAAAATGAAGGGTTGTCTTAAAGAGGCTGACTGCAATAAGATCAAGAACGTTACACTGCCCGGCAGCTCCGACACAACCCTCTACTCCATTAACAGGACGTGCTGTAGCACAGACCTGTGCAACGCCGCACCAGGCCTGCCTGGAACTTCTGGGCTCAGCCTTGCAGCCGTCACCATTTTTTCTTTCCTTGCAGCCAACTTCATTATTTAGTATACTGGCTCAACGTGCAAACAACTTTATTGTACTATTTTTCAAACTTTTTTTTTCTGCTTGTTTAAAAGTATATTGTAGTGTTTTTTTGTATGATTTAAACCCCTCATATATGTCTACATGCAATAATCCTTCTTGTCACAGATAAAATGATAGCAGAAAGTTTAATCCAATTCAACTTTATTTTAACAACATAGTCAGAAGCTGAATTGATAAGACAAAGTGTTTCATTATCTAGAAGTAGTTTGTCAGTTTGAACCAGAAAATGATTTTTTTTAACCCTTTCTTTTCATTACCACTTTTGCTCCTGTTGGCATAGATTTAAAACTTGGAGATTGGCCAAGATAATGTGTAAAAAGAAAAAATGTGTTGTTGTTTTTTTTGGACACAAACATGTTTTAGAGAAATATTAATTTTCAACAATAAGCTTTTATCTAGTATCTAAAAAGAAAAGCTACTGTAAGCCAATGGCAACTGCACTATGTGCTTTGAACTTTAATTCAGACACAATTTATTTAGGCATTCTGTAAAAACATTTTTACTTAATAACATTATTTTACAAACTGGAAACATATCTGAATATCTCTTAATGTAAGTGGAATAGTTTTAATTTCAGCCAGTTAATATTCAAATTTTACCATTGCACTTAATCTATAAAAACACACAATGATTGATTTGAAATGTTAATTTTAATGAACAAATTATTTTATTCATCCAGGTTTCTGGACAAATAATACAGAAATAATAAATGGTCATCTCTGGTGAAAAAATAGACCGTAAAACATAAAAGAAATGTTCAGCAGTTAGACTAGTAAAGTAAATCATCCTAATCTCAAGGCACCATCACCATACACCAGCCATTTTTTTCCCCTTTCTTGATAAGTACATAAATCGCTGTACCTGTATCAATATTTAGGGCCTTTTGCTGCCAAAATCAGCGACTTTAGGGTATTTTTTGCCTGTGTAGGAGTTATTTCTTCATTGTATAACTATTGTTTAGAGGATAAAGGTGGTCTGATAATTTTTCCATGACTACATTTTAACATTGCTTTACTTAAAAGCATCAAAAACTGTGGGATAAATGTTTTTTTTTTTGTGTAAGTTCTTTTTTTGGGGGGGTTGGCTGGAATCTTACGTGCACTTCTTACACTTGTCCTTTGTTACTGACCCCTTACTTCCTATCTTATTTTGCATATTGTTATGATGTTGTTCTTCTCTGGACATTTCATATATTAACTTTAAGGTGAAATCTTTCTTTTTTGGAATTTGTTTTGGCAAAGATGAATAAAGCTGGAAGCGGGAACAAATAACTAGTGTCCTATTATTGATGTACAAGGTGTTTTCTAGTTAACATAGCACTTATCTTGTTTCCAGATTAACAGGTTTTTCAGCGATGACTTGACAGCTAATGTCTGTGAAACAAATGGCCTATTTAAGTTAGTATTTCTTTACAATTTGACATGGAACAAAGTCAGACATATTAGGTGAAGAAAAAAACATACTCTGCTGATGCCAAAATTCACATTTTACACAGCTGATTTTTTAACATTTTAAGTCAAATTTCTAAACACCAAAAAAAAAAAGAGTGGAGTGAGTTCCAGACAATTGATGTCCTCATTAAAGCCATCTTGCATCCTTCGAACACATCAAGCACATTGAAACAAATTTTTCAGAAAATGACTTAGAATTAAATTTCAATCCTTTTTTGCAAACTTTGTTTTAGTATGTTTTATCTTTTTATAGAAAGGTCTCAAACTTTGTATAAGCCAATAAATAGTCTATTTTAGTTTAAAGGCGGTTAGCAATAATATACTTATGTTTTCCGTCCTACTTTCATTCTTTTTGCACTTGGAAGTTTTACTTAGAACCTTCTTGTGTAGTTAGTTCGAACTGCGCAAAAGTTTAATTCATGCCATTTTTAACTGGTCTTAATTTTTGGTCAGAAGTGTATTGAAGTATGGTTGTAAGATCTTATTTTGGTGTCTCAAAAAATACGAATGAATAAAAAAAAAAAGCCTAAACAACCAAGAACCATTTAGGAACTTGCGTACTATTGGTGTGATAGATGTTTTTTTTTCTATGAAAATCTAGAGTTCCCTTAGAATAGCTAAGGCTGCAGGAGTCAAGCATGCAAAACATGTGCAGAAGCTTTAGTTATTGAAGCAGCTGTGAAGGTTTGAGTCCTGGCCTGGGGACTTTTACTGCTTGTCGTCTCCCATCGAAAAAAGAAAAAGAAAAGATAATAGATAGATAATATCATTAAACAAAGAAAATTAGTGATTAAGATTTTCCCTAAAAAAACTTCCTGGTGCAGCTTTATATGAAAATCTGATTATACATTCTATGTATTTTTTCCGGTTTTAAAACTGATTTCAGTCTACATTTAATTGTTAACTTTTAAAAGACTACCTTTCAGCTGAAGAGTTTTCAAAAAACTGAATTCCAAATTCCTTTCATTTCAGCACTCTGTCCTGTCCTGAATGAGTATGAAACTACATAATTGTCTTTAAAACATATTTTAGATTCTCCATTAATGTTTTTTGAACCAAATACCTTCCTTTGTATGTCTCTACACACCCTCAACCGTTCCTTCAAATTATTTTGTCCAGCCACTCACCACCCTCCAGTTGTATTACTATATAAATGCTGCTTTCACCAATTGTGTTATATTTCTGAATCCTTGCTGCATCTGATCACCTAGGACACAAGGACCTTCAAGCCTTAAGGAAAAGGACTATATCTCTGAGCCTAAACCAAAAATCAAATCAACAGACATGGGGAAGCTCTTCATTGGTGTTATTCTTGCTCTTGCATCCATTGCTTTGGGTAAGAATTATTTAAACTGAGTGACCTTTGATAATGTAATTTTATATTATGATACTTTTTTTTGAAAACTATTTTGCAAAATGTTATGTTTTAAATTATATTATTTGTGCTTCAGAAATTAGAGCCACATTACATTTGAAAGAGTGACCTTATCAGATGCTTGCTTTAGAAGTTGATCACAGGAGATATGGCACAGTTCCAATCAGGCTGAACACTTTTCTCTCCAGGAACAGTTGCTTATTCTACCTACATCCCATCATTATTTCCAAAATATTTAACTGTTTGACAAAAAAAACTGTTTTTGTTGTGACACAAGCCCAAGGTAATATCTGAATGCATTTTTTTGCACCAGTATGCAATTAGTTAATCAGTTTTATATAATAAATATTATGTTTTTTTCCCCTATTATAAAGCAAACATTTAACCTAAAAGACAAACAAATAAAAGGATAACAATTTGTTTTGCCAGTGATAAAATGTGAAGAGACGATTATCTCTGACAGGTATTGGAAGATGCTTAATTTGGCTGCATCTTAAGTTAAGGTGTGATCAACCAGATGCTAGATAAGACAATACAAACAGCATAGCAGAGCTCTTTGGGCTTCTGCCAATGGGCAAGAAAATTATTTCCGTTTTCTGTTTTACTAGTCACATTTGGAAAAACTTCAACCCACCTTTACTTTAGCAGAGCTTTTTGTGGATTTGAATCTCCAACTATATAGGAAAAATCATCACAAAACACTTCTGATCATTTGTTATTTCTTTGTTGGAGGTAAAATAGTTTTTGTCTCAGGGAGAGATAACCTAACCTCAAATCAGGGGGAGATAAAGCTTTAGAGTTTAAATTGAGCATCTATTTCTGTCTGTTTCAGTGGAGTCCTTGGTCTGCAACAAATGCTCAGCAAGTGTGTTTGGCTTTTGCCTGAACTCAGGGGAAGAGACCTGCACTGCCAACAACAGTGTCTGTTTTACTGGACGTGCAAGTACGTTTTTGCATAGCAACATTTGAATAACCCATCACTGTTGTTGTTACAAAATGAAACTAAACTGAAACATTTCTCTGTAGCTTTTCCAGGCATCTCAAGTTTCAGTGGCTTCACCCAACAAGGCTGCAGAGTTAATGACACCGCCTGCAACAGTTCCACAAATTCATCTCTGCTGGGTGTCACTTACACCACAGCAATTACCTGCTGCTCTACAGACAAGTGCAACCCAGTCACGCTCAGTGGTGCCCCAACTGCCAAAATAACCTTCACCTCTGCCATCGCTGGAGCCGTCCTGGCCTCTGTCCTGGGAAGCTACTTGTAATCAGAGTAGAACTGCAATCAGTAACATCAAGCCTCTTGTCTTAAAAAGCCCATAGTAATATAAATCTTTGAACAATAATACTAATCATTAATTGTTCAGCCAATGTTGTTGTGAGGGTCAGATGTATGGCAGATACCCACATCATGGAAGTTTATCAATGGGATGTTTCAAAGAAACATTGAGCTCATAAATCTTTCATAATGTTGTATAGGTTTAGATATCATAGATTCAAATTGTATTCCTCCTCATAACCTTTCTCTGTGTTACTGAGTTGCAGAATAATATAATAATGACTATTTCTCAATAAAACACAATGACAAGCCTCCATGAGTACTTTACTGGACTTGAACAACACAGCAGGTATGATGGGGAATGATCTATAAGACTACTACAATTAGAAAAAGGAAAAACATTTAACACACATGTTAAATAGAATATAAACCACATGGATGTGAGAAAAGTTAAAATACGGATAAACAGGACTTTATGGTTGTGGCAGCTGTCAAGACGATTCCCAGACTGAATAAGATCTAGACCAAAACTGGTTTAGTAAAAAACATCTATAGGCTTTTTCTCCTAATCCTAACCATAGCACTATTTAAAGGGCTCCTTTCTATAAAGCTATTTTAACATCACTATATTCAGTTAAGAGTACTTTTTTCTTGTTCATTTATTACAATGATTCAAAATTGGATTATAATGATTTCCACCATCTCCGTGTATCTGAAGGGATCCACGTAGAAGGGGGGGTTAAACAGTGAATATATCATGATGTAATAGGGAATTGCACATTGCTCTCACTGAGCCATGTTCAACTTAGACTGCATGACATGTGTTAATAACTCTGAAGAGATTATTTTTCCTCTTCATACCTTTTTCATAGCCATTGAAGCCTTTTCACATAGAAGAATAAAAAGATATAAATCATTTATTTGCTTCCCCCCCCATTTTATTATATATCAAATATATTCATATGTAAAAAAAAAAAAAATCACATGTACATACAAATATTGCAACTCCCTTGCACAACCACTAAAATTATGTAAATTAGTATACTATGTGTTTAGTTATGGAATCCTTATTTGATTCCATATTTGGATCCTCTGCATTGTCCCCCAGTGTTACAGTCGGCTATTCAGCTACTTCTTTATTGTTTGCCTGCCTGCCTCATGTCCCCCTAAGTTCCCTTTGTTAATCTCAAGAGATTTTATTGTGCTGCTCTGCTGTGATTTTCTGCATATTAGCCCACAATCCAACAACCACAACGTGATATTCTTATGTAGGGGTTTATACCGTACTCAAAGCCAAGAAAAAATATATTGTGATCTGATTTCCCAAGAGGAGGTCTTAGTTTAGAGATGTATCAGTAATTGGCATTTGTATAAAACAAGTCCAAAGTTGTTGTTTTTTTCCCGACTGACAGTCATTGGAAGTAAAGCAGAGGGAGTAATGATTAAAATCTCCAGTTATAGCCCCGGATTCAATTGGCTGTTGTATCTGTAGCTTAGGAACTTCGCATGCATTGTCAGCAACAGCAGAAGGTGTAATGTAAACCGTTACCAGAGGAACACTGTTTAATTCAATGCGCAAATAATATGGATGGAAATCATTTACCAAGAGTTCAATATCTGGGATACAGTGATGAATCTTCACAGTAACATGTCTGGCATGACACCAGCTGTTGTTTACTAGCTTTGCCATCCCCAACTCCTTGAACTTTCCAAATTTCTTTAAATCTCTACTCATATGGTCAGAAAATCTGGCAGAGGGATGCTGGAGTGGGGGATATTATCATGCAGCCATGTTTCAATAAAACACTCCCAATATGCTGTATGGGTCCCTACTAGGGCTTGGAGTTCTTCTAAATTGTTTCCTCAAGATCTCAAGTAGGGAACAGATGGCTTATATTTCCTGCTCCTCTCTCCTATCCTTGCTCTTGCTCTTCAACCTTAGTGCATCATTTTCATCTCAGTAAGGACTAGTGGAAGAAGTGAAAGTAATATATTAAACTTTGAGATTTTTATCAGCTACACATGGTTGTAGAAAAATCTACTTGCTGTTATTTCTATGGTTATACATCATATCAGAAGTCTAAAAGAGATTCCAGATGCACAACATCCAAATTCTGATCAACAGAGGAAGCTATGAAAAGCCAGAATTTCCCTTGAAAAAATACAGATCAAGATGAACCTATTTTTTTTGTGGGTCCTGTTTTGCCAATATAGCTCGGTTAATAGATGTTTCAGAGGAAGATGATAGCCCACGATTTGCTTTTACTAGCAGATCATTATGACTGTTCCTATAAGGGTCCATATAGATTATGTACATCAGACAACTACCCAGAAAGGAAGGTGAGAAAGAAAGAGGGGAAAATAAGCGTTAATTAGCAGTAGGTATCCATTAGAATAAATATACTTAATAGCAGGTGTAAGGGCCCCTAAACTTGCCCTCAAGGGCCCAGGACTGATAACAAGGGATCGTAAGGCCCAGATATTCAGATTAAGATTCTCTAAAAAAAAAAAAAAACAGCTACAAAAAAAAATAAAAAATACTTCTACAGCTGTTAACATACCAGTGTTGGCTTGTATTGATCTTTTATAGTTAAGTGTATGTCCTCTAGAAGAGAAGAGACGTCTAAATACCTTTTATTTCAGCAATATTCCCTGTCCTGATTAAGTAAGTATCTTCATAAATTGTCATATTTGAGAATCTCAGCAAGTGTTCTTTGAACCAAATACCTTCCTTTGTGAGTCTCTACACACCCTCAGCCGCTCCTTGAATTTATTTTGTCCACCCACTCCCCACCCTCCAGTTGTATTACTATATAAATTGCTGCATCCACCTGTAGCGTTATTCCTCTGATTCCTTGCTGCAAACTGATCACCTAGGAGACCAGAACCTTCAAGCCTTTAGGAAAAGGACTATATCTCTGAGTCTAAGCAAAAAAACAAATCAACAGACATGGGGAAGCTCTTCATTGGTGTTCTTCTAGCTCTTGCATCCATTGCTTTGGGTAAGAATTATTTAAAACGGAGTGACCTTTAATAATGTAATTTAAAGTTAAGCTTTCACCGACATTAGACATCTTTTGAAAAGCATTTTCCAAAAAGTTCTGTTTTGAATGATAGTTATGATCTTGTTTGAAGTCCTTAAAAAAATAGAGCCACTTTTTGAGAGAGTGAGGATGGTAAGTAGTTTGGCACGGTTCCAATCAGGCTGAACAGTTTTCTCTTAAGGAACAGTTGCTTAATCTACCTACATCTTACCTTTATTTCAAAATATTTATCTGTTTGACAAAACCATAAAATTTTTGCTAATCTGACAGAAAAAACAAATTGTGATTTGTATTTCTTGTCAAAACAAAATTCTTTAGATCTTCTTGAGTAAAATACAAGCAAAAATAATATATTTTTGTAAAAAATAAAAATCACATTGTTTGCTGTGGATTAAAACATATGGTGGAAAAACACTAACCCAGCCAAATAGACAATATGTATTGCTCACTGGGTGTAGTCTAAAAGCTTTTTGGAAGCATCACAGTTCGTTGAGAAATTTCAAGAGCGCTAACACCTCTGTATTCATGAAGGACAGTTCCAACCTTCCAGGTAAAAGGTCATGTATGCATGTTTTTTTAACATGAATGGAAGGGGAGCTACTTTTTAAACCAGTTTTATCACAATAGAAACCACAATTTTGATACCTGATTAACCAATACTTTTTATCATCTGATATTATTTTTCAACCACCTTATATCAGAATTTTGTGTTGCAGAAGCTTACAATTCGAATCCCTGATAAAATTATTGAAAGACTTCTGATTGTCATGATTATATAGATTATGTAGAGGAAAAAGCTCAACTAACTCCAAAGGTATCTCAAATACATATTATACACATATCTATTATTAAATATACATTAACATATGTAATAAATATTATTTTACTAGTTAGTGTTATGTTTATAATTTTTTGGCCAAGATAATATCTGTATGCATATTTTTGTACCAGTATGGAATTAGAATTTGTTTTTACGACCAGTTGTACAGTATATAATAAATATTATGCATTTTTTCAGTTTAAGAAATATATTTAACCTAAAAAACAAACAAATAACAGGATAACAATTTGATTTGTCAGCAAACTCATAATGACTGAAATGATTACCGTTATGTGAAAATTTGAAGACCAGATTATCGCTGACAGGTATTGGAGATGCAGTCCTTCCCTGGGCTGCCAACTTATCTCAGTTGAGGGGTTCGAGTGTCCCAGTGACCCTAGGAGCTATGCTGTCAGGGGCCTTATGCCCTTAGCAGGGTCACTCAAGGCAGACAGGTCCTAGGTGAGGGACCAGACAAAGAGCAGTCCAAAGACCCCTTATAATGAATGCAATAAATGGACATAGTGTTCCCTTGCTCGGACGCTGGTCGGCGAGGCACCAACATTGGAACCAGGCCTGGAGGTGGGGCACGCTGGTGAGTGATAGGTGGCCGTGCTTTTAGCCATGGAGGCCAGCAGGGCACATCCTGAAGAGGAAACATGGGTCCCCCTTCCAATGAGCTCAGCAACTGTACGAATGGTAAAAGGGGTTGGAGACATTGTGTGATGGGTGGCAGTCGAGGGAGTTCTGATCCTCGGCTAAAGAAACTGGCTCTTGGAATGTGAAATGTCAATTCTCTGGTGGAGCTCTCCACCGACCACTACCTGGTGGTAAGCTGGCTCAGATAGTGGGGGGGTGGGGGTGGGGGGGTATGCCGGTCAGACCTGGTAGGTCCAAACGTATTGTGAGAATAAGCTTTAACTCCCACCTCCTGCTGAGCTCTGAACACATTTCGAGGTAGGAGGAGGACACTGAGTCTGAGTGGACCATGCCTCTATTATTAAGGTGGCCACTCGGAGCTGTGGCTACAAGGTTGTGGGCGCATGTGTGGCTCGGCTGGCTGCTGTTGTTCTATTATTTCATCAGGGTGTGATCTACAGCTCTCACTGGAGCGGTTCACAGCCCAGTGTGAAGTTAGGGTGTGGTCAACCAGATGCTACTTAAGACAATACAAACAACACAGCAGAGCTTTGGCAGAAGCCCAGACTACTTTGGGGAAAAAGGATTCATATAGATATATCTCTACCTTCAGGGAAGCAATAAAAGTTTATTTCAACCAGTTTGAATCATTGCTTTCAGCTTTACTAGTCACATTTGGAAAAGTTCCAACCCATCCTTACTTTAGTAGAGCTTTTGGTTGATTTCAATCTCCATCTATAAAGAAAAAATCTTTACAAAACACTCCTGATCCTTTGTTATTTCTTCTTGGAGATTAACTAGTTTTTGTCTA